TCATTGTTTATTAAGGCATTTGAAACATCTTCAAAATCAATATTAGTGATTCCATGTAGTAGGGTCGTTACTAAAAACTCATAGGATTCCGGCAAAGAGTTTAATAACAACAACGCCTTGTCCTTGTCATCAATCTTAACATCAAGATTGAGCAAATCAGTGATGATTTTGTTAAAATCATCCAAATGCTCAGCCATTGAGATGCCTTCCTTGTAATCAAAACGGAAGAGTTTCTTCTTCAAATAGAGTTTATTTTCCACACTCTTCTTCATATATTTCGCTTCAAGCTTGTCCCATAATTCTTTCGCCATGGTAACCTTCATAAATGGATATTTCTGATCCTTGCCATGACAGGATCGAATAATTCCACAGGCTTGCCGATTTAATTTCGTCCATTCTGCTTCTGTCATGTCTTCAGGCATTTCCTCTTGGAGAGAGACATCGAGGTCTTGCATGACCAACAAATCGCTAACTTCGCCTCGCCAAACACCAAAATTATTGGTTCCATCAAATTTCTCTACTTCGAGATTGGAACTCCACACTCTCGATCCACGTCGTGATGGTTCTGTCATTTGCAATAATTAATCTGGATGAAACTCAAAACCACAATTCTTGAAAATTGATTTTCAAGAGAATAAACACGATTGTGAGCACGTCTAATGGTCGATGAGGCCCAAGCTTTCACAATACCCCAAAATACCACAACTTGGCTCTGATACCACTTGTTGTGCGCCGAAAGCGGAACAAATGTACTCACAACACCAAATTTACTCAAGGCATACAATATTGCACACAAAGCTTGATGATTTCAACAGCAGAAAGAATGGCATTATATAGCCTTCTGCTAAACCTAAATATAAACTAACAGACTTTCAAATATTAGCTAAGACCTTGAGAATAGGTCTTGGTCCTAGAGAATAGAGCTTATGACAGTGCTTAACACCTCTGTGACCTCATAGTTCTCGAGCAGCACTTTTTACCTTGACTAATAGTCAACAAACAATTAAAAACTAAAGGTAGAAACCCAAAATAAACAGACACGACTGGATGCCTTTGGATGATCCACACTGTTACCACATAGTTCTCGAGCAATGCTTCTATAACACCTGTTTATCAACAGCTCGATTCACATGAGTTACCACTAACATAGATATTTTGCTTAACCTATGCCAAATTGCTAAGTTGTAAGATAATGACTTTTTTAAGTTTATTCTGCATAAAGTTATGTAAAAGAAACTCGATTTTCTTTATTAGGAGCTAACGATCTATAATGTGCATAAAATCTATGCCCAATTAGCTCAGTTGTAAGATTGTAGTGTAAAAAACGTGAAGGTCGTAGGTTCGACAATAACATAGGCCAAGTTTTATTAATTCTTAATAATATCTTTTCATGATACGGGGTTATAACAGTACGAACTTTAAACCAATGATACGGCTGTTCACAATTTTTAGATCTGAGTCGTTCGATATGTTCTTCTATGAAGGATGAAATTCGAGGATTTTTTAGAGTCCTTTCAGGAACAAGAAGGAGGTAAATGAACTTATTTTGGCCGTTCGATATGTTCTTTTACGAAAGATGAAATTCGAGGATTTCTTAGGGTCTTTTCACGAACAATAAGGTAAATGAACTCACTTTGAAGGCCAGATTCAGTATTGCGACTCTCACGAGAGAAAAATTTTCGGCAAGCCACGTGTCAACTTGCGGGAGGGAAAGCGTGTACGACAACCTAAGGGACACGTATTGACGATTGGGTGGAATAACGCGTCAGGCGCATTATCAGGAGAGAAAATCTATGGCCTATTAGCTCAGTTTGATAGAGCGTTGTGCTAATAACGCAAAGCTCGCAGGTTTGACACCTGCATGGGCCAATTTCATTCATTTTTAATTATATCTTTTCATGATAAGAGTTAAAACACTACAACTTTAGAAGATAATGACATTTTTAAGTTTATTATGCATAAAATTATGTAAACGAAACTCGATTGGCTGGATTAGTTGCTAACAATCTATAATGTGTATAAAATCTATGCCCTATTAGCTCAATTGTAAGATTGTCGTGTTAAAAACGTGAAGGTCGTAGGTTCGAAAATTACATAGGCCAAGTTTTATTAATTCTTAATAATATCTTTTCAAGATACGGGGTTACAATAGTACGAACTTTAAACCAATGATACGGCCGTTCACAATTTTTCTTTAGATCTGAGTTGTTCGATATGTTCTTCAATGAAGGATGAAATTTGCGGATTTCTGAGAGTCCTTTCAGGAACAAGAAGGAGGTAAATGAACTTATTTTGGGCGTTCGATATGTTCTTTTACGAAAGATGAAATTCGAGGATTTCTTAGGGTCTTTTCACGAACAATAAGGTAAATGAACTCACTTTGAAGGCCAGATTCAGTATTGCGACTCTCACGAGAGAAAAATTTTCGGCAAGCCACGTGTCAACTTGCGGGAGGGAAAGCGTGTAAGACAACCTAAGGGACACGTATTGACGATTGGGTGGAATAACGCGTCAGGCGCATTGTCAGGAGAGAAAATCTATGGCCTATTAGCTCAGTTTGATAGAGCGTCGTGCTAATAACGCAAAGCTCGCAGGTTTGACACCTGCATGGGCCAATTTCATTCATTTTTAATTATATCTTTTCATGATAAGAGTTAAAACACTACAACTTTAGAAGATAATGACATTTTTAAGTTTATTATGCATAAAATTATGTAAACGAAACTCGATTGGCTGGATTAGTTGCTAACAATCTATAATGTGTATAAAATCTATGCCCTATTAGCTCAATTGTAAGATTGTCGTGTTAAAAACGTGAAGGTCGTAGGTTCGAAAATTACATAGGCCAAGTTTTATTAATTCTTAATAATATCTTTTCAAGATACGGGGTTACAATAGTACGAACTTTAAACCAATGATACGGCCGTTCACAATTTTTCTTTAGATCTGAGTTGTTCGATATGTTCTTCAATGAAGGATGAAATTTGCGGATTTCTGAGAGTCCTTTCAGGAACAAGAAGGAGGTAAATGAACTTATTTTGGGCGTTCGATATGTTCTTTTACGAAAAAAGAAATTCGGGGATTTCTCAGAGTCTTTTCAAGAACAAGGAGGTAAATGAACTCACTTTGAAGGCCAGATTCAGTATTATGACTCTCATGAGAGAAAATTTTTCAGCAAGCCACGTGTCAACTTGTGGGAAGGAAAGCGCGTGAGACCGCCGGCAAGCCACGTGTCAACTTGCGGGAGGGAAAGCATGTCAGACAGCCTGAGGGACACGTATTGATGATTGGGTGGACTAACGCGTCAGGCGCATTGTCAGGAGAGAAAATCTATGGCCTATTAGCTCAATTGGTTAGAGCGTCGTACTAATAAAGCGAAGCTTGTAGGTTTGACACTTCCATGTGCCAATTTCATTCATTTTTAACTATATCTTTTTCATGATACGAGTTAAAGCACTACGAACTTTAGAAGGTAATTACTTTTTTAAGTTTATTATGCATAAAGTTATGTAAACGAAACTCGATTGGCTGGATTAGGAGCTAATGATCTATAATATGCATAAAACTTATGCCCTATTAGCTTAGTTGTAAGATTGTCGTGTTAAAAACGTGGAGGTCGTAGGTTCGACAATTACGTAGGCCAAGTTTTATTAATTCTTAATAATATCTTTTTATGATACGGTGTTACAACAGTACGAACTTTAAACCGATGATACGGCCGTTCACAAGTTTTCTTTAGATCTGAGTCGTTCGATATGTTCTTCAATGAAGGATGAAATTCGAGGATTTCTGAGAGTCCTTTCAGGAACAAGAAGGAGGTAAATGAACTTATTTTGGGCGTTCGATATGTTCTTTTACGAAAGATGAAATTCGAGGATTTCTCAGAGTCTTTTCACGAACAAGGAGGTAAATGAACTCATTTTGCAGATCAGATTCAGTATTGCGACTCTCATAAGAGAAATTTTTTTGGCAAGCCACGTGTCAACTTGCGGGAGGGAAAGCGTGTCTGACAGCCTGAGAGACACGTATTGACGATTGGGTGGAATAATGCATCAGGCGCATTGTCAGGAGAGAAAATTTTCCACGTGTGAACTTGTGGGATGGAAAGCGCGTCAGATAGCCAGCAAGCCATGTGTCAACTTGCAGGAGGGAAAGCGGCCACATGTCAACTTGTGGGAGGGAAAGCGTGTTACATGTCAACTTGCGGGAGGGAAAGCGGCCACGTGTCAACTTGCGGGAGGGAAAACGTGTCATGTGTCAACTTGCTGGAGGGAAAGCGTGTCAGACAGGCTGAGGGACACGTATTGATGATTAGGTGGAATAACGCGTCAGGCGCGTTGTAAAGTGACGCGGCTCCACTTGATATGCGACACGCGATAGCTCTTCCGACCCATGCCCACGTCTAACCAAGTTTGACTAGAAGGATGTTCAACTCGATCTGTATGGTGCCACGCTTCAATGTAAAGAATTTCACTTTCCAGCACGCACCTCTTGTTTTGAACCCACGACTTATCAGTAGCTTTCCTCTCTTTCTCCATACTTCTTCAATTCTTTTCACAAGCTTAGAAATTACTTTCCCATTCTCTTCCTTCTCTAGTTTGAGATAGAAAGAACTCTCACTCAGCTCAGCCCTTCCTTCTCTAAGATTTCAATCTCCATTTCTAAAAGCTCTCTTTTCTTTTTCAATCTCTACTTTCTCCTTCAAAATGCGCTCGTTCAGCGATTTCAACGTCTGCAACTAAGACTTCTCCATAGATTTATCCACGGCAGATTTTGGTTGTTGCTCTAAATCTCTATTCTCTTTTTGATGATCCGGAAGTTTCTTTGGCTCGTTTTCCGATCGCGTGTTCAATCCAGATTCCTTCTTCGATTTTCTCATCTCCAATATTGCGATTTTGCCGAATTCGCTGTGTATCCCCTCATTTCCAACGGTTTCCACCGCCTCACAACTACCGCCATCGTCTTTTTCAACGTCATGTTCTTACGCTTTCAGATCTTCATTTTGAGCCATCAAGAGAAGACCTAAGTCCTTCGTTTGTTGTGTCACCAAGGCTAGGTTGATTGTTTCTTTCACCTTTTTATCGGCTCGACAATCTTTTGCAAAATGCCCCTCTACCACAATTGTAACATTTGTCGGAGTTACAATTGTTTGCATAATGCATATTTGTGACATTTGTAGCACTGAATGTTGGAGTAAATTGATCGGCCGCCTCTTCCTCGATTGCGTCCTCTTCCATGCCAATTTGCTTGGCTCGGCTGTCCCTTCTTCTTATATTATCCTTCATGACTACTTCCTTGAGCACCATGACCATTTTTACTAATTTCACGGTCAAAACCTCTACCTTCAAAATTTTGAGAGTAGAGTACCTTTTAATCTTTGATTGACGCCTTGGTTTGAAGTGCTTGATCAAGTGTTTCCTTCTTCTTCTTCTTACGTTGCTCGTGTGTCTCGAGAAAACCGGCTAGCTCGTCGACTGTTAATGTTGTCAGGTCCTTTGACTCTTCTATCGCGCATACAACATTCTCAAAGTTGTTGGTTAATGACCTTAAAATCTTCTCCATAACCCGCGTCTTGGCTAACATTTCTCCATTTCGATTGAGTTGGTTTACCACTGTTTGTACATGCGTGATGTAGTCAGATACACTCTCTGACTCCTTCATCTTCATGCTCTCCAACTTGCCACGAAGAGTTTGGAAACGACTTGCTTGACTCGGTCAATTCCTTTGAACACTTTTTCTAAAGTTTCTGACGTTCTTTTGAAGTAGTTGCATTGGCAAGCTTCTCAAAGCCCGACTCGTCAACGGCTCGGAACAACATGTATAGTGTCGTCTTATCCTTTGATCGCACCTCTTTTAGCGTCTTGTTTTGTGTCGCTCTATAACCCGTGGCATCTTTTGGTTCTTCTAACCCTTCTTCGACCACCTCCCATGCATCTTGAGAACCGAGAAAAGCTTTCATATGAATGCTCCAATTCTCGTAGTTTGTCTTCACTAGTCGCGGTAGCGGCATTTGACCCACATTCGCCATTGGCTTGATATAATTTTGTTAACGAAAACTCATAAATTTGTGAAATAAGTCCCACACACACTAACGATAAAAGGAGACAAAGATAACACATGTATTTATAAGGTTTTCTAAAACTAAATATAGACATAACAATGTCACTATTCGTAACCCTTAAAAAGTCATTATTCCTATAAAGATTCTTGGCCTTTCATCTTCAAAACTTTTGGCCTTTTACTCCAAGACTGACTCTTGAATTTAAAACCCACTAAAATTATCTATGGGGAATCCGATCCCTGCCACTTCCTTACCATGAATCCCTTACCGTGATCCCCACACAAATAAATAGAGAATTTCATGGAAATTGAGAATGAAATAGATGGTGGGGATGATGACGGGGAATGGACATCGCTACCTCTGGCCGCTGCACATGTCGTGTTTTATGATTGTATGACATATACTATGTAATGTATATGATATGATATACGATATGTTGCATACAAGTTACGCTATGATATCATATACACTATTCTAGGACTATGAGACATTAGAAAATCATGTATTGTTAATTACTAAAAATATGAAATGAATCAAGTATTTATATCTCATAGGAACACTATGCTAGGAATAGATTGGAGGTATGACTAGCGCCATGAATATATGTCATGCTTTGATGTTATGGGACCTCATGCATTTTGTATACCACGTGCATCGAGATACTTCTATATTATGTTTCGTACACCCTATGCCTATGAAACATTAGAAAAATCATGTATTGTTAATCATGAACAATATGACAAGAATCAAGTATGTATGTCTCATAGGAACGTTATGTCGTGTTTTAATGTTAGGGATCTCATGCATT